ACAGAGGAAGAAGACATGTTACATGTATGTAGTTCTGTAGTTTAAACATGTTTCCACCACAGAAGAAGAGGAGGAGGAGGAGGACTCTGAACAGCTGATTCTGCTCTTCTTCTGCAGAAAAGCACTTAACAAAAGGACCTGAAACCGACCCTTAAATGTGGATGTATCTGATAAAAGATGGACAGGTGAGACGTTACCTGGAGTTTGACCAGGAACAGGAAGTCAGGTGGGTTTTAATCACCTGAAGAAGAAGTCTGGAGTTTAGGATTTGAAAGCATCTCCTGTACGGTGAGTCTTTAACATGCTTTTATTTTGAAAATCTCTTCTGAAACTGACGCTCATGTGTCTACTGCTTGTTACAACTTTAATTTGTCGTACTCGTCATAAACGGTTAGCTCAGGTGGATCATCCCGACCCTGCCTCCGACGTAAGCGTGACGTATGCGGTTCTTGCTTCTAGACCGAATTTTTTTTGGTGCTTGGTAAGAACCGGTTTTCGGAGCTTAGAGGCGGCTCCGCTGCGGTGTGAACAGGACAAACCGGTGCTTAGAGCCCGCTCCGCTGCGGTGTGAACAGGACAAACCGGTGCTTAGAGCCGGCTCCGCTGCGGTGTGAACAGGACACACCGGTGCTTGGAGCCGGCTCTGCTGCGGTGTGAACAGGACACACCGGTGCTTAGGGGCGGTCCGCTGCGGTGTGAACAGGATAAACCGGTGCTTAGAGGCGGCTCCGCTGCGGTGTGAACAGGAAAAACCGGTGCTTAGAGCCGGCTCCGCTGCGGTGTGAACAGGACATAACGGTGCTTATCATCAGGCTCTAGCTCCGAACCGGCCCTGGAACCGCGTTGGTGTGAATGAGACGGCATGAGAGACGTCTGAACACACCTGCTGCATCTCTGAGAGTACACACCACTTATTATATCACCATGTGTTATTCAATATGCTCCTTAGGGGGAGAAAGGGGGAGAGAAAACAGAGGGAGAGAGAAAGCTAGAGAGGGAGAGATAGAGGGGGAGATTGGGGAGAACATACAGGAAGAATAAATGCAGTTAGTTTAAGAAAGGGGGAGTAAAGACAGAGAGGGAGACTTGGGAGAAAAGAGAGAGAGAAACATTTTTAATTTAAAAGAGGGGGACAAAAAGGGAGTTAAAGACAGAGAGAAAAGAGGGGAGAAAAGAGAGAGAGAGAGACGAAGGCATTTTAACTTGAGAGGGGGAAATGGGGGAGTAAAAGAAAGAGAGGTAGAGCAGCATTTGAGGGGAGAGTAAAGAGAGAGAGAGAGAGGAGAGAGAGAGAGGGGAGAAAGAGAGAGAGGAGAGAGAGAGAGAGAGGAGACAGAGAAATGCATCTGAAATCAAGAGGGGGAGAAAAAGGGGGAGTAAAGAGAGAGAGAGACAGAGAGAGACATAGAGAGAGAGAGAGAGGAGAGAGAGAGATAGACAGAGAGAGAGAGAAAGATAGACAGAGAGAGAGAGAGACAGAGAGAGAGAGAGAGAAAGATAGACAGAGAGAGACAGAGAAATGCATCTGAAATCAAGAGGGGGAGAAAAAGGGGGAGTAAAGAGAGAGAGAGACAGAGAGAGACATAGAGAGAGAGAGAGAGAGAGAGAGAGAGAGAGAGAGATAGACAGAGAGAGAGAGAGAGAGAAAGATAGACAGAGAGAGAGAGAGAAATGCATCTGAAATCAAGAGGGGGAGAAAAAGGGGGAGTAAATAGAGAGAGAAAATTATGATATGACCATGTTTAATTGTTCTCGTCCTCCTTGTGAAGCTTGTTTTTAAAGTGCTATTTAAATGAAATGTATTGTTATTGTTGTTATTGTTGTTATTGTTGTTGTTGATATCCCTGACGCCTCGTCAGCAGGCACACAGACATCAGAGTGGGCTTGAGCCCCTGCCCTTTTTCTTCCTCCAGAGAAAGTGCCCTTTTTTATTTGTATAAATGAATATCCACGTAACTAAGGTAGGCTACTAGCTAACGGGTTAGTTAGCTCAAGGGTTAGCTAAGGCAATGCACCGTGGGCACGCCGGCTGACGTACTGAGGGGAGACACACCAGAGGCCTGTACTACGAAGCTGGTTCAACCTAACCTGGATATGTTTGAGTTAGCCGGTTGGCCTAATCCAAAACATACGCGCTCTCTCTAAACGGTCCTACGACGCGGGTTATCAAGTGGATCGCTCAAGCCAGCCGTGTCCTATCTAGTTAGGTGCGTTCACATGAAAGGGGTGGTATCTGGAGCATTCGACCAATCACAAACATGGAGAAGCGTACTGACAGCGCAGCGTCATACTTCCTGAATGAAAAGTCAACTATAATATTAGACATATGAAGAAGTTAAACTTTAAACATCCATGACTTAAACACTTGATCCAGGATCAAAGCCACA